GATGGGATGGCACGAGTTCATATTAAGGATGAACGATGGGGCAAAATCATGCAGATTGCAATACGAAAGGGGGGGGCTGATAATCCAGGGGGGGGGGGGGGGGGGGTCTATTCTCTTTCTTCAGAATGGAGACTTTATAACGAGCAGCCTCTGCGGTGCAATCTAAGCGGTGCTACATGCGCGGCGCAAATTATGCGGTGCCACATATGTAGCGTGCCCTACGTGGTGCAATCTTGGTAGTGCACGTCACTTGTGGAACTCGCAGTTGTCAGCCCCCCTGCTCGCGCAATCATCGCGCCCGCCCGCCCGCGCCTTGTCTTGCAAAACACGAGCGGCGGCGATTGCTCAGAGTGCTTGGCGCTGGCTGTTGCATCTCTGCGGCCGCGCAAACCCGCGCGTGCACTCGCGCGCGGCGACCAGCTGGGTTCGGCGCGACCGACGCGGCCACGGTGGCGCTGACCGCTGGGCACATCCCAGCGGGCACATCAATACGAGTCGGCGACTTGGGCGGGCGCGGCATCATGGCAACGTCGACAAAACTAAACACGACGATGATAGCAGCGATGCTGGCGACGATGTTGACAACGACGACGGCACGGCCAGTGACGTCGCCGACGCCAATCACGCCGACGACGACGGCGGCGCCCTCGCGTCGGTGATGAAAGTTTTGGATCGAGTTCGACACAAGCGCGCGGCCGACGCGCGAGTGACCCGCATTTGTCACGGACCGTGCCCCCCCGGCACGCGCGCGAGGATGTCCGAATCATCTCGGGGCGCGGTGCTAGAGGCCCGTTCGGCAGAATTCCATCCAGAAATGCTGGGGAACGTCGAGTGCCCGCAAGAATTCGCAAGAGCGCGAGCGCAGGTTTTTCGTCGACAGCTGTCGTTACGAGGCCGTATGTTGCTACACAGTTTCGCGACACTCGGTTTTGAAATCCTCGCGGAACGCTGGTTTTTTGGACGGGTTTCGGCATGCGCGCGCGACGGCGCGCGTTCGCGATGTTGCAGCGGCTTCTCGCGACAGCGCGCGCGCCAGGGCGTTCGAACGATGTTCGGCATGCGCGCGCGATGCCCTTGTGGTAGGATGCAATGAAAGTGTTGAACAACTTATGGCTTCCTCTATTTCGCAAGAGCGCGCGCGAAAATCTGCTCCGGGAAATCCGCGTTGAGAAACCACGTGTGTTTTATATGTGCACTGGGCACTCCATTTGCAATCCTTACGAAACCTGTAGTTTTTGGAAGATGTCAGCACGCGCGCGCGACGACGCACGCGCGCGCACTTCGCCCCGTTTCTTGCAAAGGACTCTGGAAAACCAATGATTTTGATATAAGCGCACGCGCGCACATGTGTTTCGGAGGATGACGGGGGGGGGGGGTCGATACCGCTTCCCCTGGAATGATACGAAATCATAATTGGGATGGCCGATGGGCCAAAACCCCACGCAGATTGCAATGCGAAAATGGGCGCGGATAGTCCCGGGGGGGCATCTTCAAAGAGAGATTTTTTGGTGGCGAAAGAAATGTGCACGATCTACGCGGCGCAGTATACGTTGTGCAATTGATATCACGCAATAAATGTGATACAGAACATGCAATGCATATCTGCGGGGTGCACTTCACCCTTCCGAACTGGAAACTGTGAACTCCAGTGCTCGCGCAATCGCCCCACCCACCCACCCATGCCGCAACTCGGTTTGCAAAACCCATGCGGCGGCGACTGCGACGACTGCTGAGCGCTGGATGGACGGTCGCTGCGGCCGCGCTAGCTCGCGCAAGCTCGCGCGCAGAGCGGCCAGCTAATCTGGCGCGACCGACGCGGCCGCGGTGGCCCTGACCGCTGGAAACTTACCAGCGCGCCTCGCAGGCCGCGCTGACGCGCGGGCACTTCAGTGCAAGTCGGTGACTTGGGGGGGCCCAGTATCATGGCGACGTCGACAACGGCAAACAGGACAGTGGTTCCCGCGATGAAGGTGACGAGGATGAAGATGATGACGGCAAGGCCAATAACGGCGCCGATGCTGGTCATGCCGACGACGATGAGGGCGACCGCGTGACGGTGGTGAAAGTGTTGAAGCATTTCGACATGCGCGCGCGGCCGGCGCGGGAGAGCGGTCCGCATGATATTAGTTGGCAAGGAAGGCGCCCCCCCCTAGCAAGAGCGCAAAGGCTTTCGAATGAGTCCGGCACGCGCGCGTGAGAGTTCCGCGTGGTCACCCATTGGTTTTACCACGATGTCGGGAAATTCGGTTTTGAAATCCGTGCGAAACCAAGTTTGGCAAAACAAACAAACAAAACAAGAACAACAACAAGAAACATACAAGAACAAGAACAACAACAACAACAAACAATCATTAGAAGACTGTTTGTTCTTACTTGCCCGCGCGTCATTCAGAACGAGTCCCCCACACCCTCGACACCCGCCCTTGTTGTCTTCGATCACACCCCCCCTTTGGGGGATTATTTCTCTTTGCGGGGGGCGGCGGGCTTAGGCAGGCGGGCAGACCTGAACGGGCGGGCAATCCTTTGTGGGCGTACATGTGCCCGCCATTGGAATTGGTGTGGGCCCTGCAAAAAGAGGAGGGGGAGAACGAGGGAGAGTGGGAGGAAGGGAGGGGGAGGGACGAAGGAAAAAGGAGAACGCCAGGAGAGAAGGAGCGAAGAGGGGGGCGGTTGATTAGAGGCAGAGAGAGAGAGAAAGACAGATAAGTGAGGTAGAGAAAGAGAGAGAAAGAGAGAGAGAGATAGAGAGAAAAAAAAAAGGAGGGAGGAGGCAGGAGAGGGGAGGGAGAAGGGAGGAGGGAGAGGAGGGAGAGGGGATAGGGCAGAGAGGCATAAAGATGAGGGAAGAGAGGAGGGAGAGAAAAAGGAGGAGAGGAGGGAGGAGGGAGGAAGAGGGAGGAGGAGCAGGAAGGTTAGAGCTTGAACGTTCGAAGAAAATCTAGGCGAAAGCGCCGTTCCTGAAGGAAGTCTCGGGCGGGAGCCCACGACGGGCGGGCGATCCCCTGACGGGCGGGTCGGGCGGATGGGACATTCAAGCGGGATGCCTGAATATGGCGAGATCGCGATTACTAAGTAAATTGTGACGGCGTCCATGGCGCAGCGTGTTTCCTGAGCGTCGAAAGCGCGGTTTCTGAATAGATTGCATGAAAATCACAGGCGAGAGCGCAATTCCTGAATAAAATGTGAAGGGTTCTCTGGAGGGAGCGGGGGTCTTGATTAAATTGCGGAGACGTCTTGATTCAATTGTAATGAAGTCTCAAACGGGAGCGCCGTTCCTGAGTACATTGCGAGGAAGTCTCAGATGGTAGCGGGGGACCTGACTAAATTGCGACGAAGTCACAAGCGGGAGCACCGATCCTGAGTACATTGTGAGGAAGTCTCTGGCGGGAGCGGGGGTCCTGAGTAAATTTGGAGGACGTTTCAAGCGGGAGCCGTTATTGTTATGATCCGGGGGGCCAGGGGTACAGTTTGAGCACCAAGACCTTCCCTGTCAAAAAACAGGGTGCGAAAATAGAGGGGCACACTTTGATTGATAAAAACCAATATGCACCGGTGAGGGGGGATCTACAATACATATTCTTCAGATATGCGAGTTCAACAACAACACCAACGACAACAGCAGCAGCAACAATCACAACAACCACATCAACAGCAATAACAATAACAATAACACTAATTACAACATTAACAACAGCTATAACAACAACAACAACAACAACAACAACAACAACAACAACAACAACAACAACAACAACAAGAACAACAGCGACAACAACGACAACAACGACAACAACGACAACAACAACAACAACACCAACAACAACAACTAAGATGCATGCGCGCGACGGCGCGTACGTGTCGACGTCGCCCCATTGTTTGCAAGGGAATATTGGACAGATGTGACTGTTGATGAACGCATGCGCGCGCATCGTATGATTTGAAATGGATGGGGGGGAACGGCCTGGCTGGGATGGTGTGAACTCAGATTGAACATGAACGATGGGTGCAACATCAATTGGGATGATACAATCAAAATGGGAATCGATAGTTCCGGGGGGGGTAGATTTTAATGTTTGTCAAAACGAGACTCTATGCGGTGCAATCTATCCAGTGCAATTCACTCTGTGGAACTTGGAGTCACGCCCGTTCTCGCCATGGGTTAACTAAAACAGAAAAGCGTCCCACGTGCCCCAGAGATGCTTCCACACGCCCGCGAAAAAAGTCACGAGACACCCGAAGTTCGACCTGAGAAGTCCCAGGGAGGCCGCCAAGACAGCCTGGGGGCTGCCCCAGAAGCTGCCTGCGTTTCATTGAAAGTGGATGAACACAAATGAAGCTCCAAAATGCGCAAGTTGCTCACATTTGCAGTCGCGGGGGTCTTGAAGAAGCCCCGAGATGACTTCCACTTCCTTCCGAACCTCCCAATGCGTCCTCCTCGAAAACATGAACACGACGCTCGAAACCTCCCACCAATGTTAGAGATGCACACGAACCAATTGGTGTTACGGCGGGTTGGTGAGTCGGCGCGCTGAGTCAATCAGTATATGTTCAGGGCACCCCTGATGATTTATCGGACACTGTCGGGCCGACGAAAGGTCGCTTGTCCTGAACGACCGCTCATTCGTCCCAAGCCCCGGGGCAAATCTGCGATGCGGTAAGAATCAGACTCAGTCGGATTTGCCGACGTTCCTTTCCCTTCGCCTCTCATCGCAGGCAGCTAATTAACGAGGGGCATGGCGACCTTGATCTCGAGTTTGTAGGCTTTTCGACTGGACCAAAAATGGTGTCATACTATGGGGGGGCGCTCACAGTGGGGGGCGCCCATCCTCGATAGGGGTGCACCCGAAGAGCCCCTAAGTCCCCCGAGCTTCCCTCCCTTTTTTGAGCGGCCAGCTCATCCGAGGGGACCTCGGGGACCGGGGGCAGGGGAACCGGCTGCGAGCAGCACCCGAAAGCGCAGCAGGAGCACAACGAATGCGCCAGAGGCCGCCACGCCCTGCTCAGTCCTTCAGAGGCTCCACCGCCTCGTTCTCGGCGAAGCCAGCCTCTCGGGAACCGAAGCGTGCCGATGCCGCTACGCCCCAGCCCTCTCCCCGGGTGCGCTCGAACCCGGAGTTAGATGCAGATCCAGACACGGCGACGAATGCAATCCAGGAAGCCTGACAAGGCGCAAACGAGGGTAAGGTAGCAGCATCCGTACCTTTTCTGGGAAGAGCGACTATATATATAGAGAGAGAGAGACACATGCATACATACATACATGCATGCATGCATGCATGCATGCATACACATACATACATATACATGTGCACATATGTGCATGTATATACATACATACATACATACATACATGCATGCATGCATGCATGCATACATACATACATACATACATACATACATACATACATACATACATACATACAATACATACATACATACGACGAGAGAGCGTGATCCACCGCCGCTTTACTGTGGAAAATTGCCAACCTTTTCCTCCGGAACCCGGGGGTCGCCCCCCCCCCCCCCTCCGAAAATCCCCCCCCAGCCCCCCTCCCCACCCTCCCCCCCCTCCCCTAACCCTCCCCCCCCCCCCCTCCCGCTCGAAAACCGGGGGGGGTCACTACCAGTTCGAACCCCTCCCCCCCCCCCCCCCCTCCGGATCCGGAAAACCGGGGGGGGTCACTACCGGTTCGAACCCCCCCTCCCCCCTACTCACCGCCAGCAAACGACTCCCGGTCCCCACCACCGTCCGCATCACATCCCCCACTGGTGTTCCCAGCACCACTGTCCTCACCACCGCTGTCCCCACTGGTTCCACCACCGCCCCTACTGTCCCCACCAGTGGCCCCACCACTGTCGCACTGTCCCCGCTGTCCCCAGAACTGTTCCCACCACGGTTCCACTCTCCCCACTGTCTCCACGGCCCCAACCACTGCCCGACTATCCCCACTGTCCCCACTGTCCCACTGACTCCTCCGCTGTCCCACTGAGCTGTCCCACTGTTCCCACCACTGTCCCCACTGTCCCCACCACTGTCCCCACTGTACCTCTGTCCCATTGTCCCACCGCCGTCCTCGCCACCGCCTTCACCACTGTCCCCACCACCATTGTACCCTCCACTGTCCCACTGTTTCCACCTCATTCCCATTGTCCCCACACCACTGTCCCCACCACCACCGTCACCACCACTGTCCACTGTCCCCCCCTGTTCCCACCATTGTCCCCACCACTGTCCCCACCACTACCGTCCCCACCACTGTCCCACTGTCCCACTGTCCCCACCACTGTCCCGCTATCCCCTCACCACTGTCCCCACCAACACCGTCCCCACCACTGTCCGCACCCCCACTCGGTTTTCGAGGGGAGGGGGGGGGTTCGAACCGGTAGTGACCCCCCCCGGTTTTCCGGATCCGGAGGGGGGGGGAGGGGTTCGAACCGGTAGTGACCCCCCCCCCTTTTCATGATGACAGGGGGGGGGGGGGAGGGGTTCGAACCGGTAGTGACCCCCCCCGGTTTTCCGGAGGGGGGGGGGGGGAGGGGTTCGAACCGGTAGTGACCCCCCCGGTTTTCCGCCAGCAGCGGTAGAACACGCTCTTTCATACATACATACATACATACATACATACATACATACATGCATGCATGCATGCATGCATGCATGCATGCATGCATGCATGCATGCATGCATGCATACATTCGCACATACACACATACACATATGCATACATACGCACATACACACATACACACATACACACACATACACACATACACACATACCTGCATACCGACCTACCTACATACCTACGTTCCTACATACCTACATACGTACATACATGCATACATACATACATACATACATGCATGCATGCATGCATACATACACACATGCATGCATACACACACATACATGCATACATGCATACATACATGCATGCATGCATGCATACATACATATAGCATACACACAAACAGCCACACCGACATACAGACATACATACGTATACATACATACAAAAGCATACATACAGACATGCATACATACACACATACATACATGCATGCATGCATGCTTGCATACACACACATACATACATATAGACATGCATACATACATACATACATACATACATACATACATACATGCATACGTACGTACGTATATACATACATTCATACATGCATACATACACAGAGACAGACAGACAGACAGACAGCCATGCATACAGGCATACAGACAATATATAGATGTATATATATGTATAGATGTACACCAAGGTATCTGGATCCTGTCCCATGGGGCTTCGCAGAAACGCCACAGGGCAACGTATAGTGTAGAAGTTTCTTGCCGGTCCTCCGGGCCGGCAGGTGTTGAAACGAACATATACATATACACATACATACGAGAGAGCGAGTTTCACGGGCGGTTGCCTTGGGAACACCCCCCCGGCGCCGGCGCCGGCGCCGGCGCCGGCGGCCGCCAGCAGCGCCGACGGCGGGGAGGACGCAGCGACGACGACCAGAGAGGGCCCTTGGGGAGGGGGGACCCGCCCCCACCCCCGCTCCCCCGGCGCCGGCGCTGGCGCTGGCGGCGGCCAGCGGCGCCGACGGCGGGGACGCAGCGACGATGACCAGAGAGGGCCCAGAGGCCGCAGAGGGAACACACGAATCGCCATATCGAGCCCTCGCCCTGAAAGCCACCGAGAGGCCCTTAGAAGGTCCACGAGGCTTCGCACATGCTCCTCAGACGCCCCCGAGACCCTTCTGACGAGACCTCAAGAGGCATCAATTAGAACTCTGACCCGAGTCCAAAACACGGTGGCGGGAAGAGCCGAAAGCCACACCACCAGCACCACCACAAACCACCACACCACCACCACCACCGCCACCACCACCACCACAAACACCACGACCCACCACCACCACAACCACCACTATCACCACAAGCCACTACACCACCACCGCCAAAAACGACACCACCACCAGCACCACCACAACCTACCACCACCACCAAACCACCACACCATACCACCATACCTACCACCACCACCACCAAACCACCACACCACCGCCACAACCACAACCAGCACCACCACCACCACCACCCACCACCCACCATACACCACCAGCACCACTACCAGCAGAGCACCACCACCATCAACACCACAGCCCACCACCGCCACCACCAAACCACCACGCCACCACCACCACCGCCACCACCACCACCACCACCACCACCCCTCAACCCACCACCACCACCACCACCACCAAACCACCACACAACCCCCATCACAGCCACCACCACCACCACAACACCTAACCTCGACCACCAGCACCACCACCACAACAACCCACCACCACTACCACCACCACCACCACGCCACAGCCACCACCACCACCACGACGAACCACCACCACCACCACCACCACTACCAGCAGCACAACCCACCACCACCACCACCACAACCACAAAACACCACACCACCACCATCGCCACTACCGCCAGCACCAGCACCACGTCCACAACCACCACCACGACCACCACCACTCACCACCACCACAACCACCAACACCACAATAAACCACCACACCACCACCACCACAACCACCACCACCGCCAGCACCAGCACCACCTGCACAACCACCAACACAACCACCACACAAACCACCACAAAACCACCACCATCACACACCACCACCACAACCACCAACACCACGACAAACCACCACACCACCACCACCACAACCACCACCACCGCCACCACCACCTCCACAACCCACCCTTACCACCACCACCACCACCGCCACAAACCACTACACCACCACCACCACCACCACCACCACCATCACCCACCACCCCAACAAACCGCCACCACCACCACAACATCCACCACCGCCACCACCACCATCACAACCCACCACCACCACAACCACTACCACCACCACAACCACCACGACAAACCACCACACCACTACCGCCACCATCACCACCACCTTGCCCACCACCACCACCACCACCAGAAACCATCGCACCACAACCACCACCGCCACCGCCACCACCACCACCACCACAACCTGCCACCACCACCAGCACCACAATAACCACCACCACCGCCACCAGCCACCACACCACCACCATCGCCACCACCACCACAACCGCAACAACCACCGCCACCGGCCCGCCACCACCACCACCACCTCAGAGGGGCCCCAAGAGAAGCGCCCAGCAGGCTTCACAAATACCCTTCAGAGGCCCCCGAGAGCCCTCCGACGAGACCCCAAGAGGCATCTATTGGGACTCTGGCCCAAAACCGGGCACGGTGGCGGAGCGTCGACGTCGTCGTCATCGTCGTCGCCGTCGTCCTCGTCGATGCACTCCGCCGCCGCCGCCCGCCGCCGCAGGCGCAGGCGCCGGTCCAGAAAAAACTCCCACCCCCCCTTCAATCCAGGGGGGGGTCCAGTTCCAAACCCCTCCCCTCCAAGCGACCGCAGAACGCGCTCTTTCATACATACATATACATGTACACAGTGCGTGGTGGACAAGTGCCGCCATTTGCCACTAAGTGGTGGAAAGCGTAACATGGTATAATGGACATGTTCCTGGCCCCGCATAGCGGCATCGGTACATTTCCTCCTCTGAACCTCGCGGATGTTCAGCTGGCTGTGGGACGGGAGCTCGCCGTCGCAGAGCTCCGCGCCGTCGGCCATGCCGTCGAAGAGCTCGTCGTACTCCGCCTCCTCGAACAGCCCCTTCCACCTGAGCGACGAAAAAGAAACGAGTCTTACCCGATATGGCATAGCGACCTTACGCGGCGGCTGACGCGGGCCGCCATCGTGGCACGCCACACACTGGAGACGAGGGCGCTTACGCGCGACCTAACGCGGGCAGCTTACGCGCCAATGTCGGCACAGTCCACCCCGATTTCTTCCGTCTCACCTCGCCAGCACCGTCTCCGCTGCTTCGCTGCCCATCTGGGTCGTCGGCCCCGCGCCGCGCTCCGGCAGGGACTGCGCCAGGATGGCCACCTTCAGGAGGCCGCCAACCGATCGACGCACACGCCCGCCCGGCCAAGCCAAGAGCCTGAGATCCCAGCTCTGCAGCTTTCACAGAAGGCGTTTCAAGGGGAACTGGGACACACAAATAAATACACACAAATAAAAATATCCCCCATATTTTTCCATATTTTCTGGGTTTTTGTCTTCCCCACCACTTCCCATATTTTCCTATATTTTCCTGGGGATCGACGATGAATTGTGTCTGTGTGTTTTTTTCCCTCCTGAGCGTTTTCGCCCGGGCTTGGGCCCTGGGACCATCACGGATCGACCTGGCTCAAAAGACATGCCGCAGCACGACGGGTCCATCGTCCACCCTTGAGCCCTTCTCCTCTAGGGCTCCCAACTTCGCGCTTCGCGCTCCGCGAAGCGCGAAGCGCGAATAACTTCGCGCTCTCGCGCCGCCCCCCCAAAGGGAGAAAAGGAGGACGAGGAGGAGGGGGAGGAGAAACGAGGACCGCGAAGCGCGAAGCGCGAATAACTTCGCGCCCTCGGGGGAGCCCTTGTTTCCTGACAAGAGCTTCGAAGAGCTTCCTGCCATGGGACTGGGCCGCGGTGCAGCACTACTGCACAGAGCCACTACGCCAAGGTGCCTCAGATCTCGGCCTGCCAATATTTCTGACGTGTGTGGCCGGTTTGATGCATCGGCCTGCCCCGGGGCCCCTGTCGTGCCTTTTTCTTGCGCTGCTGCCATTGTTTCGAGGCGTCGGATCTCAAGGAGGAGGGCGTCTGCGCCGAGCCGATCCTGGGCCCGGGGTTGGCCTGGCCAGGGCAGGCGCTGGTGTGCAGTTCGCGCCCTCCCGCGGAGGTGCCCGCCTCACCACTTTCTTGTCCTGGAATCGACGAGTGTGCAGCGCAAAACGCGTGCTGCCAGCACGGCCCTCCGTGGGGCCTCTGAGGCAAATGGTTGCGGAGGCGAGGAAGCGCTGTTGCAAGCCCTTCCCTCCGTGCTGCACTGCGTGTGCTCGCCTCACCGTTTGCCCATGGACCCCTCAAAGGGCTGGAGCTGACCAGAGTTCCAGCCGCGCCGACGAGACGTCTCCCAGAGTCCCGAACGAGAATGAGAGACACGCTCCGTAGAGATTGTTTCTTATCTTTTCCAGTAGCAGTCGCGTTAACCGGGGTGGGAGCGGGTTCGGGCCCCAGGTAATCACAACGCTTGGGCGGGGTGGGGCACGTCGGGGCGGGGGTGCGCTGCGATCGCACAGTACGCGCGCGAGCACCAGCGCGCGAGCACCAGCACGTACCCCCCACACACACACACACACACACACACACACACACACACACACACACACACACACACACACACACACACACACACGACCGTTACCGTTTCCCGGGGGGGCGGGCAACGACGATTACGCGCCAGAACATAGAAAACACATCATAACCTTTCGCCAGCGATCATCGCGGCCCTTCCTCACGAGCGACGATCATGTAGATATCCGTGCCCTCGCGGTCGGTCTGGGCACTGAGGCGCGACCCCAGGGGACGCGATCACGTGGAAGTCCGCCCCGCGCGGGGCATCCGCGCACAGCCGCCCCAGGTCCACGCGGTCGCCGGGCGCGGCGTCCAGGGCGCGAGGCCGAGGAAAATATATAGCCCGCAAGCGAATCGAAGAAGAAACAACACACAAACGTAAAACTGTCGGAGATGCGCGCAGATGCCTTGCATCGGCTCTGAAGTCCCCTGCCTGGCGCGCGGGCCACCCGCAGATGGCAGCGCTGGAGGCGCCGCCAGGGGGCCCCGGCGCCAACCCAGGAATCCGTGCGGACCTCCGAAAGCCGAGAGCGTATGATTGGATAGGTCTGCTGCTTCGGGCGACTCCTTTTCCTCCTCCTCCTCCTCCTCCTCATGCTCCTCCTCCTCCTCCTCCTCCTCCTCCTCCTCCTCCTCCTCCTCCTCCTCTTTTCCTCCTCCTCTTCCTCCTCCTTTCCTCCTCCTCCTCCTCCTCCTCCCTCCTCCTCCTCCTCCTCCTCCTCCTCCTCCTCCTCCTCCTCCTCCTCCTCCTCCTCCTCCTCTTTTCTCCTCCTCTTCCTCTCCTTTTCCTCCTCCTCCTCCTCCTCCTCCTCCCTCCTCCTCCTCCTCCTCCTCCTCCTCCTCCGCCTCCTCCTCCTTCGTCCTCCTCCCGAGCCTTGGACGCGGTGAGGCCCGAGGGGTCCCTGCCGCACCGCCAGAGGAAGATCCACATCTCCACCGCTGCCAGAGCCCTGCCGCACATGGGGGATCTCCCCGTGGAGCGGCGGACGCGGACGCCCGTGTCGGCCGAAGGGGGAGATGGCGTGGCGAGGCAGCTCTCGGGATCCACCAAAAACGGGGGGTGACCCCGAGGGGAAGCATGATTTCGATCCGCTGGTGCACCGAACTGCCGCAAACAGTTGCCCCCCGCATACCCCACCGACCGGCTACGATCGGGAGCTGCCATCGGCTGGGATGCATTTGGTTTGGGCGGTTCGGTACAAAAACCGATCGAGCTATATCTCTCTCTGATACGTTTCCCAAAAGGGACGCCAGCGGAAGGGACTCCTGAGACCGCGGCGTTGCATGTGAGACCTCGAGAAGTGCAAGCGAAAGCGTCGCGCAGCGACCTTGTGGGCGAAGCCGAACGAACTTGGTCAATCGGCACCGCCCGTCTCAAAGCCCCTTTCCCGGTGGTCCTTGTTGGAACCACATGACTATCTTTCCCTTGCACGGTTTCCCCCGGGGCCGTAGGCGACCAGAGGAGGAGGAGGAAGAGGAGGAGGAGGAGGAGGAGGAGGAGACGGTGGAGGAGGGGGAGGGAGAGGAGGAGATGGAGGAGGAGGAGGAGGAGGAGGAGGAGGAGGAGAAGGGGAAAGAGGAGGAGTAGGAGGAGGAGGGGGTGGAGGAGGAGGGGGCTTATCCAGGCGCGGCTGAAAGCGTGCAAGCGGGGCTTGCTACGCAGACAGACTCAGGGGAGAGCCTGACAAGAAAAACCTCGGGCACATCGCACACGGGAGTGCCGCACGAGGAAGGGGCATGAGGCTAGCCCAAGGCCCCCGCAGGTGGCGTCGAGGACATACTCGCCGAATGGGCGAGGCCTCAGCTGCCCCTGCACAGACGACAGCAGCGGCTGCCCAGTACGAGGGCGCAAGCCCTCCCAGAGACGGTCTAAACTAGTGCGCGTTTCGGGGGGCACTCCACCGTGGCAAGTGAGCGCCAGGAGCTGCGCATTCTCGCTGGAGCGCGCACCACAGCGGGCGCAGATGACGAACTGGCCAACGTGCCAGACGCGGCGGCCCTTGCAGGGGCGCACACGGCTGGGATGAAGGCGCCCCGTTGCCGAGCGACGCGGAAGCACCTGGCGCACCTGAAGCCCGCGGGAGACGGCACGGGCAAGGGGGCATCAGGGGGCGGCCCCGTGTCCGCCGTGAGGGCTGGCGTCGGCCCCCGTCGCTTGGCCCGCCGCAGCTGTCCGCGGCGCAGCCTGCTGCGACTTGGGGCCGACAGGCTGCATTGTCCCGGCAAGGAACTTGGCCACGATGGCGACCAGCTTAAAGGAGCGCTGCACACGCCGGCCGGCCCCGGCATCCTTGGGATGGAGGGGGGCGCCCACGCGGGCGCCAGCATCAGCGCGGCGGTTCCCCCACCTCGCGACAGCACCCAGCTCCTGCACGTCCTCGCGAGGCGGCGGGCATGGCCTTTTCACCTTCCGCGCTCCCCCCCCCAAGGTCGCCCGCGCGACCCCATATCTGAGACCGCGCGTCAGCGCCCTCGCACATGGCGCCCGCGGTCTCGACACGGCCACGCTGGAAGCTTGAGACCACCCAATCGCAGTACGAATGGTAGCGAAAGGGGCCCAGCCCAGCGCGCGCGAGATACATGAGCAGGCCATGCGCCTCGGCCAGGTCCGACGTGCGGGCCAGGCAGCAGACCGCACAGGGACGCCACGAGGCCCCCACTGTCGTAGACCTGCGCGACACACCAGCCCGCGCGCAGGAGACACATGTCGCCCTGTACGAGCGACACGCACGAGCCGTCGCCGAAGGCCTCGCCTTCGAAATGGCCGCCCAGCGGACGCACGAGCCAGCGGACGAGTAGGGAGGGGGAGGGGCCGATCACCCAGGGCCGAGGGTCGGGGACAAGGCCTCGCCTCCAAAGGGCCCAGTCGGGGCGCTCACGAAGGCCCTCACGGACACAGGGGGGGAGGTCATAGCCCCGCACATACTGCCAGGTGGCCGAGCACTCACCCGCAATCTAAGCGGCGAGGGCGCCAGGACAACAGCCACACAGGGGGCGCGACGGATCGGTCGTCAGACCGTGCTTGTACTCGCGAGCCCGCTCCCAAATGCCATTCGCTGCAATCGCTCGGAGACTGGCCTGATGCTGGATGCCCCAGTCAGGCCCGCACGCTCCAGTGCACAGCTTGCGGGTGGGTGACAAGTGCGGCCTATGTAAGAGGCTCGACATGTAGTCGCAGCCCTGGCGGGCACGATCCATCAGCCAACCATCGATCGCGAGGCGAGCAACGCGCAGCACAGAGCGAGGGCACATACTAGTGGCATCAATGTTATAATCATCCTGAGTTAAAAAGCATGCACACTCCTGGTCCGAGCCTCCAACCCATGCGACGGCAGCTGGCGACGGCGGCCGAAATCGGACCTTTGACCAGGGGCCAGTCGCTTTTGGAGGGGTCGGCCATGAAAGCGGCCTCAGAGGCAAACATCAGCCGAGCAATCGAATCCCGAGGTGCCCACGAGGACCAAATCGCCGGGGCAAGCATGTGAATGGGCCCCGCAGCGCAAGCGCAAGCGGGCCCCACGGCCCACGAAGAGGCGGGGGAGAGGTGGAGGTCGACATCGAGGGAGCGACGGGCTGGGCTTCGTGCACATGCAAGGCGGAGTGCGCTGCACGTCTCATCGGTTCGATCCCGCCCCAATCCCTCCCCGTCACCCCCGCGCCCCAGGTGCCCGCTGGGGTCAGTCCGAGGCAGACGCGCTGGCGCGTTGGGCCGCGTGGAGCACGGATCACACGAATGCGCGCAGCACGGCGCAGCACGGTAGCAGCGCGCTTGGCCCGCGCGCTCACTCCAGCCCGGCGCCCGCTGTCGAAATCCATGCCCAGGCTGCGCGCCGAGATCCTGAACTTGCCGCGGAGGTGGCGGCGTCGCCGCATGACCTCGCGGCCGCAGGCAGACATGTTGGCCAGCAGCACGCCCTCGCCGTCGTTGACGACAAGCCCGTCCGCCGTCAGGGCGCCCCGAATCCGTCTGTAGGCCGAACTGACGTTCGCCGCCACCAGCCCGGGGTGCCCGAGCTTGCCGAGCTGGATGTCGCCCACGGTGTCCCCCGGGCCCACGGCACCGAGGGCCGCCATCTCGTCGAGCCGCGGCACGAGGAATATGCGCATGCAGAGGTCCGCGAAGCTGCAGCCTGCCACCACGCCCCGCTGCGGGACGCACCAGCCCATCGCCGCGCCGTCCACGGCGACGAACCTCGGCAAGGCGTAGAGTCTGATGAGTAGCCGCATCAGCATCACGTCGAAGCCCAGCGCGCGGGCTCGGACGACCAGCAGCGCCCACGGGACGTGCCCGCACGCCTTGGAGAGGTCCATGAGCACGGAGCAGGCCGCCTGCTTGCGGTGAGTCGCGACCTCAGCACTGGCCGCCAGGATCCACACGCACGTCTCGCAGCTGCGACCCGACGCGCCGTGGATGTAGTCCCGCCGGTGGGCGCTGGCCCAGCGTGCGCCGACTGCACCGCGCGCCCAGCGTGCGAAAGGGCGCAGCACTCCCGCGAAGAGCCCGATGGTACGGACTCCCGACTCGGCCTTTGGGACCAGCGCCATCTGCAGCACCGCCAGCGTCTTGGGAGACATAGCCGAGGGTCAGCATGCGCCCCCAGGCGGTGGCGAAGGCCTCCAGCGCGCCGTCGGACAGGAAGGTGGCGTGCCGAGCGTTGAACGCATCACCTCCCAACCCCGTGATGCGCGGGAGTGGCCCACCTTGCGCAGCTCGTCGGGCGTCGGCAGCGGAGGGCCGTCGCCCAACGCCACCGCCCAGCAGACAGCGCCCAGCCTACCACCCTCGCCCCGCAGGACGCGCCACGGGCGGGCGGCCGCGGCGGCCGCCTCCTGCACAGCCTGCAGGCCCACCGCGGGCGACCGACGGGCAGCTGCCCACGGGGCGGGCTCGCGGATCCAACGAAAAGCCCTGCGAGGGCCCACGGCGGCAGTGGCGTCGCGCGCCCAGTCGAGCCAGGACCTGCAACGCCCGTGCGACGCGCGCCCCGCCGCCGACAAGGCCTGTCGTCGAAGCAGGGCCAGCAGCTCATCACATTCATCATCCAGAATACGGCGCAGACGCCTCGCCTGCCGCCGCCAGGCGCGCCACGCCGCAGGTTCGCCGCCAGGGGCGGGCGGCTTGAAGCGCAGGGGCTTCACCTGCAGGCGCCACGCATGGGCGGCCTGCCCTGCCGCCTGCAGCAGCCGCCACTCCTGCGCCCGATCGCCCAGCCAAGCCCAATGTGCATCCGAGGGGTCTGGCTTAGCCGTGGGCTGCCAGCTGCTGGAGCGGTGGCGGCCCAACTGGGTCTGGACAAGGCGCAGACCCTCGATCCTGCCGCGCAACCCGCTTACCTCGCGGGTGCCAGCCAGGTCGAAGTGCCGCAGCAGCCCGTCTTCGCATGTGTCCACGACCCTGCCACAGGCTGCCTCCAAGCCTGCTGCCGCGGTCACCGTGGCCAGGTCGCCGCGCACGTCGGCCCAGTCAGGGCCTGGAAGCCGAGGCCCAAACAAGGCCTGGGATGGGAAAGCCCGGGCCCTATGCACGCGCGTCGCCAGGCCGCCTGGCTTCGGCGCGGCCAGCTGCAGCAGCACTGCACGGCGCGCCCGCGCATCGAAGCGGTCGCAACGGCTGGCGCCCTTGATGGGCGCGTCCGCCTCCACGCAAAAGTAGTCCAGCTCCCTCGCACATGTAGCCGCGATGCACGCGGCCTCCCCCGAACAGGCCAGGCGCGCGCCAAGCGCGGGGAGCAGGTGGGCCTCGCCCACGACCTCGGGCAGCATATTCCAATCGGCCCCCACGACAAAGGGGCGGTGCATGGCCCTGACGACCGAGCCCATATTGGCAAGCAGGTCGAGGTTGAAGTCGTTGAAGTCATGGTTGGTGTGGAAATATGCCGAGATCAGCAAGGCGCCCGCAGTCGAACCCAACGATGTCATCCAAAAACCCAAGCGGGCAGAACCACGAACC